ATCTCAATATGTACGGAGAAAGCATTTCATAAAATTCAGCACTGCTTCATGATAAAAAAAAAAGCTCCACAAATCAGATACAAAATGATATGACAAACCAATAGCCAAATATCATACTGAACAGGGAAAAGTTGAAAGCATTCCTCCCTCAGATCTGAAACAAGACAAGCAGATCTACTTTCACCACTGTTATTCCAATATGGTACTGGAAGTATTATCAAGGGCAATTAGGGAGGATTAAAAAAATAAAGAGCATTGGGGCCAGCACCACAGCAGGCCACAGGTCGAGTCCTAGCTATTCCACTTCTGATCCAGCTCCCTTCTAATGCACCTGGGAAAGTAGCAGAAGATGGCCCAAGTGCTTGGAACCCTACAACCATATGAGAGACTCAGAAGAAGCTCCTGTCTTTGATTGGCCCAGCTCCAGCCATTGGGGCCATTTAAAGAATGAACCAGCAGATGGAAGATCTCTGACTCTCTCTCTCTGTCTCTGTCTCTCTCTCTCTCTCTCTCTCCCTTCCTCCTTTCTTCCCTTCCTCCTGGTAACTCTATCTTCCAAGTAAATAAAAAATAAATCTTTAGAAAAAAAATGAAGGGCATCAAAATTGTAAAGTAAGAAATCAAAATATGCGTGCTTTCAGATGACATGATGGTATATATAAAAAAAAACTTAAACCACTACATCAAAAAGCTATTAGAATTGATAAACCAATAAGTTCAATGAAATTTCATATTACAAAATAAACACATAGGGGCTGGCGCCATGGCTCACTTGGTTAATCCTCTGCCTGCAGCACCGGCATACCATATGGGCACCAGGTTCTAGTCCCAGTTGTTCCTCTTCCAGTCCAGCTCTCTGCTGTGGCCCAGGAGGGCAGTGGAGGATGGCCCAAGTGTTTGGGCTCTTGCACCCTCATGGGAGACCAGGAAGAAGCACCTGGCTCCAGGCTTCAGGTTGGCGCAGCAATGGCCGTGGCAGCCATTTGGGGAGTGAACCAACAGAAGGAAGACCTTTCTCTCTGTCTGTCTGTCTCTCTCTATATATATAACTCTACCTGTCAAAATAGAATAAATAAATAATAAAAAAATAAATAAACACATAAAAATATTTTGATGATATTGATTCTTCCAATCCATGACTGTGGAAGATTTTTTTCATTGTTTTTGTGTCTTCTTCTGTTTCTTTCACCAGTATTTTATAATTTTCATTGTAGAGATATTTCACCTCCAAGATTAAAGTATTTAATTTTTTTGTAGCTGTTATGAATGGGACTGATCTTAGAAGTTCTTTCTCAGTCATGGCATTGTCTGTGTAAACAAAAGCTACTGATCTTTGTGTGTCGATTTTATATCTTGCAGCTTTACCAAACTCTTTTAAGAGTTCTAATAGTCTCTTAGTGGAGTCTTTTTTTTTTTTTTTTTTGACAGGCAGAGTGGACAGTGAGAGAGGAAGACAGAGAGAAAGGTCTTCCTTTGCCATAGGTTCACCCTCCAATGGCCACCGCGGCTGGCACGCTGCGGCCGGCGCACCGCGCTGATCCGATGGCAGGAGCCAGGTACTTATCCTGATCTCCCATGGGGTGCAGGGCCCAAGCACTTGGGCCATCCTCCACTGCCTTCCTGGGCCTGGAAGAGGGGCAACCTGGACAGAATCCGGCGCCCAGACTGGGACTAGAACCTGGTGTGCCTGCTGGATTAGCCTAGTGAGCCGCGGCGCTGGCCAGTGGAGTTTTTTGTTTTCATATATTGTTAATTCCTGAGCATGTTTTTCAATCTCCTAGTGTTTGGCTATTTTCTAGAGTTTCTTAGTTTGTTGATATCCAGCTTCATTTCCTTGTGGTCAGAATAGACATATGGTATGACTTCAATCTTTTTGAATTTGTTCATGTTTGCTTTATGGCTTAGCATATGGTCTGCCCTATAGAAAGTTCCATCCTCTGATGAAAAAATGTATATTTTGCAGCTATGGGATGAAACTCTGTCAGTCTCAATTAGGCCCATTTCATTCATATTGTAGATTATTTCTTTTTTTTTTTAATTTTTTGTCTATTTGATCTGTCCATTGACGATAGTGGGGTATTAAAGTCCCCAATTATTATTTAATTGGAGCCTATGTTTCCCTTTATGTCATTACATAATACTGTTCTTTGTCTCTTTTAACAGTTTATTTTTGGTTGAAGTTTTCTTTTGTCTGGTATTAGGATGACTACTCCTGCTCTTTTTTGCTTTCTGTTAGCATGGGATATTATTTTCCATTCTTTTACTTTCAGTCTGTGTGTATCTTTGTTGGTGTGGTTTGTTTCTTTTAGACAGTAAACAGATGGATCTTGTTTTTTAATCCATTCAATCAGTCTGAATCTTTTAATTGGAGAATTTAGGCCATTTATATTTGAGGTTATTGTTGATCTGTAATGACTTGTTCCTGCCATTTTTCCATAAATATTCCTATTGTTTGTTTTAGGTTTCTATTGTACTTTTTACTAAGAGATTTTCTGCCTTTACATTTTTCATAATGATGACTATTGTTCTCTATTTCTGTGTATAGCACATCCTTAAGTATCATTTGCAAGACTAGATGAGTGATGATAGATTCTTTCAATCTCTGTTTGCATGCAAGATCTTTATTTCACCTTCATTTATAAATCAGAGCTTTGCTGGGTATGAGAGTGTTCTGGGTTAACATTTTTTTTTCTTTCAGGACTTATCCTTTTTCACTCCATTTTTGCTGAGCCTGTAGGGATTCTGATGAGAAGAAACAAGCTGTCAGTCTAATTGAAGATCCTCTGAAATTAATCTGTAGTTTCTCTCATGCACATGTTTTACTTTTGAAAGTTTGGCTTTAATGCATTGTGATGAAGATCTTTTCTTGTCATGTGTATTAAGAATTCCTTGTGCTTCCTGAATCTGGATATCTCTTTCTTCCTCCACATTTGACAAGTTTTCTGCTATTATTTCCTGAATAGTTCTTCTAATTCATTATCTCTTTCCATACCTTCAGGAACTCCTAAGACATTTATGTTAGGTTGTTTGATAGTATCTCATAAATCTCAAACACTATTTTCAGTTTATCTAATTTTTTCTTCTTTTATTCATTTTGGTTATTTCCAAGTATTCATCTTCTAGCACATTCAGCCATTAAAAAAAAAGAATGAAATGTCTTACAACAAAAATGGATGCAAATGCTTAGCGATATAAGCCAGTCTAAAAACACAAGTAAGTTTTCTCTGATATGTGGCACTTAGAATAAAATACAAAAAATGTATAGGAATTAAAACAGACATTTTGTGATATACTGTTTTGAGCTTTTGAGCCCTTGTTTATTCTCTTGTAGAACTGTTGTATTCCTACTTTTTACTTATTTAATATTATGATCAGTGGTGAATTAAGCCTGTGATTATAGAGTGGATTGAGAGTACATCTTTGCAGAAATCAAAGAAAAAAATAAAGAAGGAGGAACAGTGAGGGAGAGAGAAGTGAGGGAAGGAAGTATGGTTATCTTCTTCAAACTGTACCTATGAAATAAATGAAATTTGTTCTCTACATTAATAAAAAATTTTTTAAATGAAACACTATATTTTTAATGATCCGCAAATATTTTTAAATTTACTGTATATGCATGAAATCAGTACTTTTTCATTTGATTACTGTTTATAGGGCTTCTCTATATTTCTGCTGAACTATGTTCTTTTTACTTTTTATTTGTGGAACACTTTATTTAGTGAAACATTAAGCATTCAACTGTAAAGTTCATTAAAAATAACTCACCACAAACAGAAAAAAAGAAGATCAGTAGAGATAAATTAAATTACATCCACAAATTAAAAGAATTTGTAACAGCATAGTTACACTTATTTTATTAATTGTTGGAGATTGTAAATCATACTTCATTTGTGTTTATGAAAACGGATTAAAAATCCAGGATAAATATGAAGATGTGGTTAGGTTAGAACCTCACATCTCAGTCACTCTAACTAAAACTTTGACACAAATTTGTCACCGTAAAAGAATCATGGCTTCTAAACAATGTGGAGCCAGCATCTTCCACCCTACTCTTTCCACTAACTACAACCCTGGAGAAAATAGATCTCATATATATGTATATAGACAGATACACATATATTACATTTTATATGTTTACACATGCATTTATGTTACACTATGTATAATATATAAAATGCACATATAAAAGAATACTATGGGAGGCAGAGCAAACCCACAAACTGGCCAGGGACCTCTACCCTGAAGGAACAGTGTGGCAGTGAGATCTCCTGGTTTGATCTCCCAGGGACCTTAGCCTTGGCACTAAAGCCCCCTGAAATGCAGAAATAAAGACATGCGGACACAAAGTGCACCCTGCTCCCCCGAGACTGCTCTCATCATTAGCCAAATAGGAAAGATGCAGCCCAAGGGACAGAACCCTTCTGAGTGTCTCTCCCCTACTCAGGTAAACACCACAGCAGAAGCCGTCTCCCTCTCACCTCCCACCAGTACTGGAAACACCGTGAAACTGAGCCCCTTCACATTCCTGTACTAAAGTCACCAGCCAAGCAGGAGCCACAGCTCCCCTCCGCTCTCTTCTCCCCTGAGTGCTGTGCATTCTAGTGGGGGTGGGGATCCTGCCAGCCAGCCCCGCCTTGCAGTGACTGCAGCAGAGGCCAGGCCCTTCCCTGCCTTCTCTCCCCTCCAAGAGGCCATGCCTGCCTTCCACCAGCATTCCCAGAGAGAGGAAGCACTTCTCCACTCCCTCCACGTCCTGCCCACAATCCCGGCCTTGCTAAGGGGACATTAATAAAGCAGCAACACACTCAGCTCTCCTAACTAGACTGGAGACTCTGGAAGATTGGTGTGAGTAGGGATCTAGAAAAGGCATTTTTAACCTCTGCAGAATGTCACAGCATACCCTCAAACAGACCACGCGTGAAAGTGACTAGAATCAGCACACAGAAGTTCTGAGAGCTAACAATGGTATAGAACACCGGATTTCAAACCAGCCCCTGGATAGCACCCAAGTAGGGTTGAACAAAATAACACTGCAAAGATTTTGAAACATAGGCTGACATTCAAATAAGCTAGGTGATATTTTCTGCACCTAAACAGACCATTACCTACTAAAACAGAAGATTTAAAGAGCAATCAGAGTTTCAAGACAGAGTGTTTTTATAGTCTATAATGCAGTCCAAAATTATATGTCATGCCAAGAGCCAAGGAATTCTCAGTGGCGATGATCCAGCTCTTAGAAGGCTTTTAAGACAACTATCAAAGCAAGGTTTCAGCAAGATATTACCAACACTTTTGAAACAAATGGGAAAATAGAAATTTTTAGAAAACAATGGTAAGTACAAAGATGCATCAAATAAAAAATATAAGGGGTGGTAGTTGTGCCACAGTGGGTTAAACCACAACTTGGGCTGCACGCACCCCATATGGGAGTCCTGGGATCAAGTCCTGCCTCTACTTCCAATTCCAGCTCCCTGCTAATATGCCTGGGTGGCAGTGGATGGGTAGTTGGTCAGTACTCGGGTCCCTACCCTGAGAGGGGAGATCAGGATGGAGTTCCTGGCTCCTGACTTCAGAGGAGCCCAGTTCCGGTTTTGCAGGCATCTGTGAAATCAACCAGCAGATGCAAGTGTGCCCTCCTCTCCCCTCTCCCCTCTCCCTTCTCCCCTCCTCCCCTCTCCTCTTCCCTCCCCCCCTCCTCCTCTCCTCTCCTCTCCTCTCCTCTCCTCTCCTCTTCTCTCTCTCTCTCTTTATAAATAAGTAAACAGATCTTTTCCAAACTTTTACAACTCAAAAAATCATTACTTAAAAAGAAAAAAAATCTCTAGATGGGCTCAGAGCAGACTGAAAATGACAAATGGAAACATTAAAGAACTGGTCTGAAACTAGAGGGAAGATTTTAAAAGGAAACAATGCGGGGGAGGGAAGGCTGATGTGGCACAGTGGGTAAAGCTGCCACTTGTGACACTACTATCCATATTGGTGTGAGTTCGAGTCCCAGATGCTGCACTTCCAATTCAGCTCCCTGTTAATGGCCTGGGAAAAGCAACAGAAGATGACGCAAGTACTTGGGCCCCTGCCACCCACACAAGAGACTCAGAGGAAGGTCCTGGCTTCAGCCTGGCCCAGCACAAGCCATTGCTGCCATCTGGGAACTAAGTCAGTGGATAGGAGATTTCCCTCCCTCTCTGTCTCTCCTTGTCTGTAACTCTTTCAAATAAAAAAAAAAAAAGTTTTTTAAAAAGTAAAGAAGAGAGTCCCAGGAGTTTGCAGAATAACTAAAAATATATCATTTGTGTCACTGATGTACCAGAAAGAAGGGGAAAAAGGCAGAGCTATAAAGTTTCCATGGCTAAAAATGCCCAAATATGACACAAGACATAAATATGGGCCGGCGCCGCGGCTCACTAGGCTAATCCTCCGCCTTGCGGCGCCAGCATACCGGGTTCTAGTCCCAGTCGGGGCGCTGGATTCTGTCCCGGTTGCCCCTCTTCCAGGCCAGCTCTCTGCTGTGGCCAGGGAGTGCAGTGGAGGATGGCCCAAGTGCTTGGGCCCTGCACCCCATGGGAGACCAGGAGAAGCACCTGGCTCCTGCCATCAGATCAGCGCAGTGCGCCGGCCACAGTGCGCTGGCCGCAGTGCGCTGGCAGCAGCGGCCATTGGAGGGTGAACCAATGGCAAAGGAAGACCTTTCTCTCTGTCTCTCTCTCTCTCACTGTCCACTCTGCCTGTCAAAAAATAAAAAAAGAAGGGAAAAAAGAAAGAGCTATAAAGTTTCAATGGCTAAAAATGCCCAAATATGACACAAGACATAAATATGAAGGAAAAAAAGGCCAACAATCCCAAACAGAATAAACCCCACCCCCCCAAAAAAAAATACATTCCCTGACATGTCATAATCAAAGTTCTGAAATCTGAAAAATAAGGGAACAATCTGGAACACAGCCCAAAAGAAACAACACATTACCTGTAAGAAAGCAACAACTCAAATCTCAAAGGATTTCTCACCAGAAACAGAGGCTACAAGAAAACAGACCATCTGGGGACTGGTACGGCAGGTTAAGCCACCATCTGCAGTTCTAGCATCCCATAGACGCTCTGGTTCAGGTCCCAGCTGCTCTACTTCTGATCCAGCTCCCTGCTGGTGTGCTGGGAAAAACAGCAGAGGATGGTGCAAGTGCCATCAGATAAAGTTCCTGGCGTCAGCCTGGCCCAGCCCTGGTTGTTGCGGTAATTTGGGAAATAAACCAGCATATGGAAAATCTCTCTCCTCTCTCTATCATGCTTCACTCTGACTTTCAAATATATAAAGAAATCCTTTTTTTAAAAAAGAAAAGAAAATAGTAGTGCATCTTTCGAGTACTGAAATAAAACAACTGTCAATCTAGGATCCTGTAGCCAGTGAAAATACGTAACACACCTCAGCATTTTTTAAAAAAACACTCAAGTATTTGGATTCTCTTACAAAATCTGAGCACCTGCCCACCAAGGCCTGAATGGTCTTAAGGCAGAGGAAGCTGCTGCCTCTCTATGAGAAATGCACTAGCCAGCTCACCTGAATTCCCCTCTCCTGTCTCTTCCCAAGAGTGCTATTCTAGACACTTCTACTTGCTTGACAACTGCAGGCATTTAGGTTTATAGCATCCAGACTACTAGTTCTGAAGTTTCGAGGAATTCTAATAAAAGTCATAAATCTCCCAAAAAAGTACTCACACAAAAGATTCACATTTGGTGTCAAGTTTCCGTGTTCTTACGCATCGACAGACCTGACTTGAAGAATTCCTGACTTAGGGACAGGTGCAGTGGTTAAGCAGCACCTTAGGACGTGCACATCTCATATTTGAGTACCTGGGCTTCAGTCCCAACTGCAGGTACCAACTCCAGCTTCCTGCTAATTCACACTTTGGGAGACTAGATAATGCCTCCACAGTTAGGTTTCTGTCACCCACGAGATTGAGTTCCCAGCTTTTGCCTGGCCCAGCCACAGATGTCACAAACACTTTTTTTCCCATTCGGGAAGTGAACAAGCCAATGGGAGAGCTCCTGCAATCTCTCTCTCTCTACCTCTCAGTAATACATAAAAATGAAAAGAATTCGAATTCCTGACTTAGACCACCAAGTGAACAAATGTACACAAATGTACGGTTCTAACCCTGTACACTCTGACATTATCAATTAACAATACGTTTCCTATGTCAGCTTTATGTAGAGGTGCCTCTCATCACATGTGTTTGCTGCCTTATTCTACAATATTCAATCCTGTTACGGAGAATAAGACAAATAAGGGAAATAAGGGAAATAAACCTAAATATGGAAGTATCTCATGAAACATCTTAGACATAAAACATATAGAGTCTAACTGATGGCCAGTGCCACGTCTCACTAGGCTAATCCTCCACCTGCGACACCGGCACCCCGGGTTCTAGTCCAGCTGGGGCACCAGATTCTGTCCCGGTTACTCCTCTTCCAGTCCAGCTCTCTGCTGTGGCCCGGGAAGGCAGTAGAAGATGGCCCAAGGGCTTGGGCCCTGCACCCACATGGGAGACCAGGAGAAGCACCTGGCTCCTGGATTCACACCAGCTGTAGCGGCCATTTAGGGGGTGAACCAACAGAAGGAAGACCTTTCTCTCTCTCTCTCTCTCTCTCTCTCTCTAACCCTGCCTGTCCAAAAAAAAAAAAAAAAGTCTCTAACTGAAGGAACAGAAGGACCATTGGTTGGCATCAAAGCTTCCTAGCATGGGACCATCCTGCTGGTGCAGGCTGAGCCGCCATCTGCAATGCCAGCATCCCAAATGAGCCCCAGGTTAGCATCCCAGTGGCTCCACTTCTGATCTCCCTGCTAAGGTGCCTCAGAAAGCAGCAGCAAGTGGACCGGGTGCTTGGGCCCCTACACACACAGAGAATATCCAGGTGAAGTTCCAGGCTCCTGGCTTCATCCTGGCACAGCTCTGGCCATTGTGGCCATTCTGGGGCGTGAACCAACAAATGGAATATCTCTCTGTGTCTCTTTGCCTCTCCCTCCGTTATTCTGCCTTTCAAGTCAATAAAAGTCAATAAATAATTTTTTTATTTTTTGACAGGCAGAGTGGACAGTGAGAGAGAGAGACAGAGAGAAAGGTCTTCGTTTTGTTTTTTTTTTTTTTTTTTTTTTGCCATTGGTTCACCCTCCAATGGCCGCTGCGGCCAGCGCACTGCGGCCAGCGCACTGCGCTGATCCGATGGCAGGAGCCAGGTATTTATCCTGGTCTCCCATGGGGTGCAGGGCCCAAGGACTTGGGCCATCCTCCACTGCACTCCCTGGCCACAGCAGAGAGCTGGCCTGGAAGAGGGGCAACCAGGACAGAATCCGGCGCCCTGACCGGGACTAGAACCCGGTGTGCAGGCACCGCAAGGCGGAGGATTAGTCTAGTGAGCCACGGCGCCAGCCAATAAATAATTTTTTTTAAAAAAGTTTTGTGTGGTCCACACAAGCTACATTTAAATAAACAAATAAATATTCATGAGATACTGAACATGCCTGGCACAGCTGCAGAGTCTCCCATAATTGATCCCTTTTAACTCCTACAGATTACTTTTTTTTCTATATTCATCAGTATATCTCAACTAGATCATATATTTATTAGGGATAAAGACCATAGATTATGTTGCATAGATGATATGAGGGGACTTTTAAAAGTTAGTACATGGGGCGGGCACTGTGGTGTAGCAGGTTAAGCCACTGCATGCAGTGCCAGCATCCCACACGGGCGTTGGTTCAAGTCCTGGCTGTTCCTCTTCCAATCCAGCTCTCTGCCATGGCCTGGGAAGCAGAAGATGGCCCAAGTGCTTGGGCTCCTGCACCCACATGGGAGACACGGAGGAAGCTCCTGGCTCCTGGCTTCAGATCAGCGCAGCTCTGGCTGTTGTGGCCAAATGCGGAGTGAACCAGCAGATGGAAGACTTCTCTCTCTCTTTCTCTGACTGCGTCTCTATGTAACTCTGACTTTCAAATAAATGAATAAATAAATGCTTTTTTGAAAAAAAAAGTTAGTGGATGAGCCAGCACTGTGGCGTAGCAGGTAAAGCCACCGCCTGCAGTGCCACCATCCCTTATGGGCACCAGTTCGAGACCTGGCTGCTCCACTTCTGGTCCGGCTCTCATCTATGGCCTGGGAAAGCAGTAGAAGATGGCTCAAGTCCTTGGGCCCCTGCACCCGCGTGGGAGACCTGGAAGAAGCTCCTGGCTCCTGGCTTTGGATCGGTGCAGCTCTGGTTGGTGCAGCCACTTGGGGAGTGAACCAGCGGATGGAAGACTGCTCTCTCTGTGTGCCTCTCCTTCTCTTTCTGTGTAACTCT